AGGCTTATCCATAGAAAGGAGGTCCTTGATAAGAAAGGTACCCTCTGGAGGGTCTTAGAGATCCACAATGGCGCTTCAGTCCCTCTAGTAACTGCACCTGTGACACCCAACCGTTGAAGTAATCAGTCAGAGAGAGAGAAGCCAATTGATCATGGCCAAGTTAGAAAGGAGTCAAAGGACCCTGCTTCGTGTCATGAGTCAAGCCTCGAGTTGGCAGGCTGAGTCCCACAAACAGAACAACTAGTGTCGGTACTATATTCTCCAACAAAACAAAGTTGGCTTTAGGGTGTGAGAATTATAAGTTTAGCATTATATCTATCATCACATGAAGTAATTTAGACATGTTTTCTGTAACTTAAGAGCAAGTGTACGAGATGCCTTACTGTCTATCGGACAACAACATAGTAGCTTAGAAAAAGGCACATGACTGAAAGACAAAAAAAGATAGAAAAAATCCTACTTCCTTCCATAGGTATCTGATATGAGGCCACATGCATATGCTCCAACTAGCATGCCAGCAAAAACAACAGTCGATATCATGCTCTCTTCAGTAGAGGAGATTCCTCACTCAGACTGAACTGCTGGCCCTATAAAGGAGAGAAGCAGTATTTTCATTGTTTCTGCAATCCAACCCCAATCCAGCATAGGCAAAGACAAGACCCTGGAAGTTCCCAAAACCAATCGTAGAAAGTGCTTCATCTAGTGAGCATGAAAGGCTCTGATCTGCCATCTAAAGAATCAAGAAAGAAAGAAATTTAAGATTGTAACAATGGAACAAGCTTTATGTTTAATTAGCAAAGTCCATACATATTAACTAATAATGTCGTAGCAACATGAACTAAGTACCACAACGCCTACTCCAGTTGGTTAAAAATCTTCCTTACAGCTGCAGTAACACAAAATCATCCTACACGAAAATAAGTGGGAGATATACTCGTGAGTTACTACTATTAATATTGAACAAAAACCAACACAAGAAGCATGAATGAAGAGTCATCTTAGTTACTGACAAATTCATCCGTTAGGTAGGCTCGGTAACTGGAACAAGCATTGCACCTAGTTATTATTTAATTTGTTGCTTAATAAGCATCCAAGTTAGTTAGTAGCAGGTACATGTTCTTTTAATTGAGTTGGTTTCATCCAGGAAGTTTCATATCTTATAACTTGGGCTGTGAACAAAAAAGAACCCGATGAAAAATGGATTCAGAGACCAGAGACCAAACAGTTGTATGCAATTTTTGTTGGTGGTATAAAATCACTTTGCCATGTAATTTGCTGATTAGTTTGATTTCTTGAGAAAATAAGTACAACCAGATCTTACCTCACTGAAATGAAAATGTCCAACCAGAGTACTCTCTTGGATAGAGAAAGGGACATTACCCAGTTTTGATCCCGCTACAACACGTCCAGCGAGGGAGGACTCGAAAAAGAGTCTCTAACCCTAGATTCAGTGCTTCATGTACATATTTGTCAATAACTTTTTAGTAGGTTGTAGTCCCATTAATGTATATAATTGGAAACTTGAGAACTACTGATTTCAGTCCACATTATGATACTGGTTAGGTTTATATTAGATAATTTGTAGCCTGGTGGCATCCCCTACCTCCCTAAACCCTAAACCCTTTGAACAAATTTGGGGTGCGAGTTTCTTGACAAAGGAGAAAAATAACTGTCATTTTCACCAAAGTTTAAATCATTACTATGGCAAAAGAAAGTGACAGAATATTAAAATTAAATCATGATAAATGTCACTGAAATTTCAATTATTTCTGAAGAACTTCACTTTTATTTCCTGCTCTGTCAAAAAAACTGAACGAAGTACTCGAGTTCCACTCTAATGTGCATACAGAATAGCTATATTTTTTATAAAGGAAAAGCTAGTAATCAAATGTATTATTCAGACAATGGAATGAAGTGAATATCCTTGAAAACAGCAAAAGCATATAATTGTTGGAACACAAAAATTGAGCTGAAATTCACATACATAGCACCAAAATGGTAAATATTTCAATAATTAGAAACATTAATTACCATATGAAATCAGTTGTTATAGAGCCAAACCCAGTGAAGAAACAGAGTTAGCAGCTTTCATCCAAATATCATTTGTATATGATGATTGCCGGCAAAGGGTTTCAAAAACATTAATGGAACAGTATATATATGGCCATATGGGTACATATTTAGATATTTATATTATATTATATACATATATATTGTCATGCTAACAACTGCGTGTGACATCACCATTTCTTTTTTAATTTTAAAGCGAAACAAACAATGCCTAATACTGCTGATGTTAAGACTTCTTGTTGTTATCTGTACACTATATTATATACATGATTATTACATGTATACATATGTTCCTACAGGCCAAGGGAAGTGTTGTAAAATAAAGTACAGTGAGGTCCGATTCCAATTTCAAACCTCCAAGTGAATGTTAATTTATTTTACCTGTTATTTTTGGAGAATCTTTAGGAATGGTCTACTTATAAGAAACAATATGTGCATTTGGAGGTTTGTAGAAGTTGAACAACTTCTTGATATTTATATGACAGAAATAAATAAATAAATATATATATATATATATGTAAGAATGTTGGAGACTTCGAGTATATTATGTACTTATCTATAAAAAATGGGACGATGGTTGACTGGTGTTTGTGTTGTAACCGTCAATGAATAATATCTGTAAATGGTTTAAATTGTCGTTGGCGGGTAACAAAAACAAAAAGGAAAATTAAAAATAAAAGAAAAGAAAAAGAGCATATATCTATTAAATAATTGTAGGCATACTTTTGAAGGTTACATTATGGGCTTTTTTTGCTTTTTCTTTTTTCTTTTGTCACTAGTAAGAAACCCATACACCCCACTTTGCCATACACCCCACTTTGCCCCTTTGGAAACTCAAAGGCTGATCATCCACCTTGGAAAATAGAAAAAATACCTGGAATTTGGCATCTATCTACAATATTTATTAGTTAGTATAGTCTTGTTAACTTACCATTTTTTTTTTTTTTTCGGAATTAACTTACCAATTCTCTTCGTCAGCTATACACATGGACCACTTGCACCACCAGTTGAATTTCACAAATATATATATATATATATATATATAATATGAGACAGAGGAAGTGTATATATATATATACACACACAAGAATAATTTATTGTACACCCCATATACATACATATAAATGGTTATATATATCTATATACCTGCCAATTTTAAGAGTACACAAAGATTATTTTTAGAAAAAGAGTGGCACCAAATGGGGCCAAACAGGAGAGGGTGACTTTACAAGGATTTTTCCTTAATTGCTGAGTTTACAAGGACAGCATTCATAATTATTTAGTGTAATGAGGAGAGCATCTCAACACATAATATTAAATATCAAATTCATTGTGAGACTTCTCTATACTCATTATTGGTAGTTCCGGAATCCTTTTTCCTCCAAAAACAATGATTTTGGTAAAAATACCATACAGCAGTGCTAATGGTTTGGGTATAGCATCCCAGTGAATATTGTGAGAGACCTTGCTGATATTGCCATTGAATGCCAATTTTTTGCAGGATGAAATATCAAATTCCTTGTGTGAAGGAGCAGAAGATGGGTAGGTGATTTAAGTCACTATCTTGTAGAACACACACCTGAGGTTCAGGGCAAGACTAGCTACCCTGGGCTCTACCTTGATTGCTCAATATGTGGTGGAGTCTTAAAAAGAACCGTCCAAAAGATAAAACTGTTGCAGGGAACAATAGCTTTACAAAACCACATAAATTTCTTTTCTTTTTTTCCCATACCTTGCCAAGAAGCACATTCATACGCCCACTTTGCCGCCAATTTGAATCCTCAACCTTTCTACTATAAAAAGCGAGAAAGTACAACTAAGCTACAACCCATGGTGGTAAACCATATAAATATTGCCATTAACCCAACAGATTGGCTCAAGTGGGTAAGTCATAAGTGACTTGGTCTGGTGCCTCAAGAAGTATCAGATATAAAATTCGACTCCTCTAGGGTGAAAACAATTTCGAGGGGGGATCTCACTTGGGAGACAGAGAATTGAATTCATACTTAGCAGAGATCCAAGTTTCTTTTTCCTTTTACTATTACCTGGCAAATAACACACCAAACCACTACAAGATCAGGAAGAATTTTTGTTTCTTACCTGAAGTCCCTGGAGCTGAATAAAGAACAATGAGAGTACTGATTATCATTCATAGTAGACTCAATCTTGATCAACCTGTCAGGAAAAGATGACTATCACCGTGTCTTTGAATTATTGGCCCGAGGATGTTAGTAATCGTATTAGGAATGTATTTCTGCTATAATTCTCTACAATTTACTTTAAAAGAGATATATCATTATCTCTAATTTTCATAAATGTAGGCCAATGATCGAGCTCGTGGAGGGAAGAGAAATGGATATACCATTTCTAATGGGAATTGTGCTAAGCATTTATCAGGCAGAAGATCACCAATCCACAAAGAGAAAAGTGGTGACCTGTTGAGAAAGTTGAAAACGAATAAAGTAACGAGCAATGAATACATCTTGAGCCTTATGCTGCATATTATAAATGTAAAAGTAATCACCTGCAAAAATAGAGAAAATGGTATGCGTTTGTGTGTGTTAGTAATGCTGTACTCAAATCAGAATTGTAAATACTAAAAGTAAATGCAATAAATGAGCAGGGTCATAACTCCATTAGCAGCATAGCATCCTTTTTCCCCAACGGAAATGCTATAAGGAAGTCTCTCTCGTGGCTCTTCTTGGGGACCCAACTTCGGTATGTCATTTGAAGTTGAGTGCCGTTAATGTGACAGTGGTTTTTCTTACCAAGGTTTGCTTACAGATGCACACACAATCACACACATATATCTTGGTTTTGCATTGGCAAAGAAGGAAAAAAAAAAAAAGAAAAAAAAAAAAAAGGAAGAATTGCATCAAAGTGCACTTTTGGAGGAAAAATTGCCAAATTAGTAACTCGCAACCAAAATATACAAAAATAAGTAATAAAATAAAATCAAAATTCAAAAGTAATTACAAAAGCAGTAACTTTCATTTTTCATAGTCTTCAAAGGACCAAAGTGTCCTTTTCCCTAAATATGTACCAGTGCTACTTGATGTGAACTAATTTTGTTTCTCCATTTAGTGCCTTGAAATGAACACAACGATATTACAAGGAACTAAATGGATTACGATTGTCAGCTTCTATGACTTTCATCAGCTCGTCAAAATAGCCTCGTTCATCAATCATCGAAAGTTGTACACAGGTAATTTCTTAATCCCAGATGCTGGTTATTTGAGTATCGCATAATCAGTCATCCACTCATCCTTTGTTTGGCATTGCCAAAACCTATAATTGAACCGCCATGAGAAGTTGGAAATAACAAATCACAGCAATAAGTGAACAATCAGGATTAGTGAATTTCAGCTTAGATCCCCCGAGTAAAAGTGGCAATACAATTAAGAGCACAAATAAAAGAAAAAGGCAAGAATTCATTCCAAGTATGGTGGTGCATAATTTTATAAGCAAACTATAGTCACCTGCATCTTTACGGGCAGCTACAAAGAAAAGTTCGGCACTCCTTTTACCATGTGGAAGGGCACAACTGCACAAACTTCTCGATTAACCAAATAACTTGAACTAGATACAGCAACAGTGTCAGTCAATCCACGTCCCTTGGTTTCCAATGGGAGGCGCAAAACACAGAGTCCTGAAATAACTATTACAACCTCAAATAGAATAATTGCAGCTGTTTGATGGTAACCAGTCACCAATCCAACTGCCACAAGGGGGCATATCATGCCACCAATTCTTCCAACAGCACTTGCAACTCCTAAACCAGTTGTCCTCACAGAGGTTGGATATATCTACAGAAAGGGAATATATATATATATATATATATTAATATGACAATAAGTGACTTGATTGGAACGAATTTACTATTGTGGATGAAGAATAAATCTGAACAAACTGAAAAGAGCAAAAATGTTTAATTAAATTCAATGCTGATATGGATAATGTCGTTGGAACTGAAGCATAAATCAAAATCACTTAGAAAAGGATAACAGTAAATAGAGTACAATAATGCACATAAAAATAAAAATAAAACTGGCACAATATGATTTTATGAAATTCTAGAGCAGATCCTTGACAAGCAACAAAAAGTACAAATCGATACGTAAAATGCAAGAGATGCTTTCACTCTGAAGGGTACTTTGAACACTCCCTATGAGAATCTAGGAGAAAACTGAAATTTGGGTCAAGAGTAGTTTTCAATTAAAAATTACACTAAATCCCCTTGTTGAGTAGAGATGAAGAGATGTGTTCCTTTCTATACTATTTTTTTAAAAAAAAAATAATGAAAACAAGGAAATAATCTCAATACTCTCTTTTTTCTGCTCACAATAATTCATACAGGGAGCATCTCAACAGACTTGGTAGCTTATCTTCATGAGTTAGTGAACCTCATTGCTGAATCTCAACAGACTTGGTTGCTCATTTTCATGAGTTACCTAACTAATAATTTTTCTCCGGTACAAGTCACATCCAATATAAAAAAAGGATTCAAATATTGTAAACCATGGAAATTGTATAAAACTGCAAGGCAGTATAACTCTGAAAGATGGCTTCCCATATCTATTACAATTATGCATTTCTAAAGATACTATAAAAAAACTCCCTGTCCACAGAAATGACAATAAGATAACGGTACAAGAAAGATAAGTGTTTCAAGAAGAGTAAAACCAAAATTTACCTCTGGAGCATAAATATATGCAACTGTGAAAGTTCCCATGAAGCACATACGGGCTCCAAATAATAAAGCTGTGGTTAATATCTCATGCTGTTGTAAAACCAATGGTAGAAGGAAGATGCAACCTAACATAAACATAATTCCCATGGAAAGCCTGCGACCAATTCTGTCCACAATAACTGCTGATAAAACAATTCCAGGAAGCTCTGAAAAATAAGCACAAGCCTTATGTTACCTAACCTTGTTTGAATAGGATGAATAAATAAAAGATGAAAACCATCAAAACACTACATAAAAAATTTCCAAATCAAGTGCAATTAGACAGACATAAAACTGTTACCTGCCAAACTAGTGACAAATACATCCAGATAGAGGCCATCGTCCTCTGAATAGTTTGAACGCACGGTACTCAAGCTAAATTTGTTTTGCCCACTACTCAGCTCCGAGGTCAGTAATATAACACCATAGTACAGAAATGCATTTCCAAAGAATACAACCCAAAGAAGAAGGGTTGTTGTAATTAATTCTGATGAGAAAAGCATGAGCAGCGATGAGAAGCCTGTCTCAGAAACCATGCTCTTGTTTCTTGTTGAGGAGAGTAACTGTGAATCTTCTGATGGAGCAACTTCTTCAGCCAACTCAATCATTCGATCAGAAACAAGCAATCCAGGAGGCAGTCTCGTTTGGTTGAGTATTTCAACTTTTTTCAGCACACTATGGGCATCAGTAGTTCTACCTTTCATACATAGATACCTTGGAGACTCTGGAGTAAGACTATAAAAGAGAAGCGCCAAAAAAGATGGTACAGAAGATAGTGCAAGTAGCCACCTCCAACCCAATCTTGGCATGACAATCTGCAGTTAAAGGAACTTACTAATGAAGGTCTAAATAGTCTTAAATCCTTTCCTCCCTTTCCCATTAGCGAAATAATCCTCAAGTTTTAAAGACTTCTTATGAATCAAACTTCTACACTAGAAAATCAAAATATGCATATGATTTTGAAAAAATTCACATGTTTAATAAATTTTGTGCAAATTTACAGATCTTCACACACTGGATATACCAATTATGATTTACAGAAATAAAGTTCGACTCCCCCTCAATTTTTAAGAAAGGCCATTTGCATACTTTTTGAACAACTCCAGACTCTGAAAGCTCCTAATGAAGTTCAAAATTACCAACAAAGCTGCCTAATGCATGAAATGAAGAAACACTTTTACAGCTAATGGAATTCCACATTGATCATTGCACACCAGGTGTTGAAAACACCAACCTACCCATTTTTCCTTGGGATAAAGAAGCGTAATACAAAGTCTAGAATGGTGACAAGAGACAAAAGAAAAAACAAAAGAAGGATAGAAAATAAACTTACTCCAAGACATTTAATGAGTACTCAACAATATACTATATCTAGAAAGGATATTTTTAGGATAAGAGCAGATCAAAATAGATTAGAAGTAGATTGTCCCTAAGAAAAGAACCCTCAGATACTTCACGGCTTTATTCTGGAAGGAAGATCTTCATCTCACTCAATCTCCTTGAAATTTATGCCCCATAGCTGCAAGATCATCAGCTACAAAATCGGATTTTCTATGAATATGGTCAACTTTATCATCTGATTTGAGAACAAAACAAATTAATTTTCATTAGCAGGAACCGGAAGGCCCATATCCCATATTGGATCTATATAATGCACCTTGAATAGCCAAGAAGCCATTCAACTCCAAATAAGCACTTAGAGAGTTACCTTTGCCCCGTAGTCTAAGAAGCACAGACACTTATACGGAGGTGCCGTGCTCATGTCAGACATTGTGTTGGACACCAACACTTCATGGATAGCAGACGTGTCCGAAACTTCATGGCGTGTCCATAATATAAAAATAATTTTTATTATTTTGGACACTTAGTCAACACATACCAAACACTCGACCAACACATACCAAACACTCGACCAACACATACCACATTGTCTGTCTTATATAAAACAAACACATTATCAGAATTGAATCGATTTTTACTTGAATCCATTCTATTAACCTTCTTATAGCCTATTCTCCTGCCGGCCCTTTCTTACTTGCCCCCTTCCTTTTTTCCTCTTTACTATAATGACTTGTGTAGCTCCTCTCATGCACTCTATTTCCAACAACTCCAACCTTTGGGCTGGGAAAAGAGAAAGAGAAGATAGTCCGAAACAAGAGATCAAAGTAAGGTGTCCAACCTCTTTTTCTTTAAAAATTGACATTAAGCACGTCACAATACGCAAAAATAATAATAAAAAATAAAAAATAAATGACAATATAGGAGAGTAATATCATATATACTATAATTCATACTCGAAGATCTTCATCCCCTAACTTATGTAACTTTAGTAATAGAAATTGTAAATTAATTGAAGTTCGATAATTGTTTTACTCAATGGGTAAAAAAAATAAAAAATTTGTTTTACTCAATAGATGTATATTTAAATGAAAATTTATATTTTATATTAGCCGTGTCCGTGTCCGTGTCCGTATCCGTGTCCTACTTTTTTTAGAATTTGACAGGTCAACGTATCCGCATCATATCGTGTCCCTGCTTCTTAGCCCACAGTCCACTCCCCATGCAGGTATGAGTACCAACAGTCACATAGGCCAATGCACGCCCATAGTACGGCTCTCCAATGCACTATCCAAGTAAAATAAGTTTATAGATCCATAGTCCACAAGGAACACCTAGCCTGTCTACACGCCAAAAATTCAGTTCCCAACAAATTACATGGCTTAGTAGCATCCTACTATCGAGTTGTCTTCATACCACACATCTCTAACAACAACACGCCATAAGCAAGACTGAACCCAAGTCAACACCTATCATCTGCAATGAGGCCTAGGTGGTGCCTAAAACTCCACTCTGTTCAAGGCTACATTCCTTGAGCGGGTATATCAAGGGGCATTGCAGATGTCACATCTGAAACTTCGATGTATGAATTATACCAATCACGTTGGCCACTGACCACAATGGTGCCATTTATTTGGTTCCCCATCCCCATGGAAGCACCAAAGGGCAAAGACCTCTCACGAATGCCTAAATCCACCTGTGAGTCTGTGACTACTCTCGAGTTTGCCCACTTAGTGCCCATCATGGCATTAGGAGTGATGGATACACACTATGCCTCCTCCCTATCAATGCAAATTGTTCAAGAATTTCCCCCTTCACATGAAGAAACTTCAGTTATTCTCTAGAAGTCATTATTGATCAAAAGTTCAAACTAAACCTACACACCTTAAGTTAGCGCATCATATACTGTTGTAGTGGTCTTTGTCTAGTTATTTTTTCTATAGTTTTCCAACCCCTCCAACCCCAAGTTCCACATATTTATCAAAATGACATTCCTGCGCATTCAAGTGTGTCACAAAACCACACAATGTACACTATAACTCCGCACTTATGCCAAACTCTTTGATAGCTCTCCAAGTGTCATGGGCATGACTTGACGCTATCTCCACTCAATAACATCAAAGCCCTCATCAACGAGTCAATAATAAAGATTTTGTAGTCAAGTGATATGTGCAAACACCCAATCTCTTCTGACACCTGCAAATCTGAAACCCCCATCTGAAGTAGTCTTCTGAACTTGGTTAAAAGAACAGTAAACTAGGTTTTCACTCTTCTCGTGTACTCATGTTACCCCTCTTGGTTTATCAGCCGGCTTCTACTGACAGCAACTGAGCAACTTTTGTTTCACCTCTAGGATCTCAAATGGCTCAAAATGATGCCCATTATAGACTTACATGAAGTAAAAAATGTGACTTTTATTGATTGGTGCTCTTTATAGACCTTTCTTTCTTTACATCTTTTTATTTAGTCACACCCAATTCCATGTATACACATAACTAGCCTTTGTTCACAATCTTCCCCAAGTTAAGTCGGGGCTGAAGCTTGGCTCATTAAGAAAGGAGCCCGAATATGATGTTCAAACATAGCTCATTTTTTTAATGAATGAGACTGTACCACCTTAGACGAGCCAAATCCAAGTTGTTCATGAACAGTTAGGTTAATTTTGCAAAGTTATCAAAATAAAAGAGAGTCTCAAGGGAGTTGAAGGCTGCCTGATGCAGCCTTTGGAGTTGTCAAAAAAGTTGAGATAATGTCCTTTAGAGAAGTTGATTGTAATAGGACTTGCTCTTAAATTGGTAGGAGAGCGGAAGTTCCCCTTTTGTTTTTGTTCTCAAGAAGAGTCTGTTCTTGGTAATTGCGCATATTTTTAATTTCAATTTGTGAGTAATATAATCGTTACATCCTGAAAATAAATAAATAAAAAAGGAGTTCACCAAAATAACAGGCAGGCAAGAGCTTTATTGATACAGATAATGAGCAAAGGAAGAGAAGTTTCCATTTAGGAAAAGTAAGCAAAGGTTGTAAAGGTATTATGAATCTCAAATGTCCAGTGAAACACGAGCAAGCAGATGGCTGAAAAGGAAAGATGAATCCTAAAAACTCAGAGAAAGCCAGGAAATCCCTTCTCCCATATTTTTTAACCCCTTTGGTACTGAGGTTTAATGGTAAAGAGGAAGAAAACAAGAACTAAAAGAAATAATACCAACAAAGAGTTCCTGAAAGGCGACAAGAATCACTGAGAAAGTTTTGGACGTACCCATGCAAGTGAAGCCTCAAGTATTGTTCCAACTGTCCAGAAGGTTGAAAAGATTACCATCCATTTGCCTCTGTTTGGAACAGGAACAAACTCTAGAAACCAAGTTGAGTACACAGGCCCACCACCCAAACCAATGCCAACCAACCAACGGATGATGACTAATGATATATAATTTGGGGAAAAAGCACTAAAAAACCCAGCTCCAGAAGTCACTAAAGCTATACTGAGAAGACCCTTCCTGTGAGACAAATGAAAGGAGACAATTATGGTGAAGTTTGAGCTAAGTAGCCAGAAATCACTAAATAGAAAATGTATATAGGACAGCAGATGTCCATCAAATGTACTGAAGTCCTGAACAAATAAATTAATTCTACAAATGACTACCAAATCAGAATGCAAAAAACTACCAAACCAGAAATAAAGCTTGGGCAGAATTTGAATTAGATGCTATGATGTTGAAGTAGTATGTGACGTTTAAGATGAGGTTAAGTTTAAATCACAGTGGCAAGGTGAATCTAAAGTTTACAGGACATGTTCAAATTGACAACCAATAAGTAATTTGGAAAACATAAATAATGATAGGGCTGGCCACTAGAGGACCATAAGAAATGCACTGATAGAGGAAATATGTAGTCACACCAAAGCATGATGGTCAACATTGATTGAACCAATGATATGTGTTTTTGTAGAACCCTAGAAGTACATATGAAAACCAACAATGAAATAATTGTTATCTAAACTGAAGGCGTCAACATGATTAAGACACTCCCGCTAACTATATCTATATGTATCATTTATCATGGTTAACAGTCTAGTTTGTGACAGAACGGAACAGCAGAATAGGAGTTCTTTTTGTCAAACCAAAAAATGGGTAAGGTACCATGAGAAACAATTACTAGGAGGTCGGCACAAACTCCACAAGTTCAGGCAGTGATAATCATATTTTCACATAGATTATAAGTTTGATTTCTCACCCTAATACATTTCCACCATCAGTCTAAACTTCAAATGCATTTGGGCACATCTATGTTTGTGTGTGTGTAAATTTACTTGCTTCAAACGAAGTCCATAAAATCAACAAGCAGTTCAAGAACTCTGCTGTATTGCGACCAGAAAATTCACTTGTTCATTTGGGATGCTTCCGTTCTGTAGAAGAAGATAAACTGAAATTAAACAATGCCTTATGACCCGATTAAGGCAAGGAACTGTGTAGGATCAAACATCTTGCAATATAATATAAATTTCACTTCTTTCATTTGAAAGGTGAATCAATTCATTTTAGCCCAACAATTTTGTTGGACACAACATCAACTAACAAACCTTTTTTTTTTCCCAACTACTTGGGATTGGCTACATGAATCATGTGTTTCCATTCCGCTAAAGCATAGCCTCGGTCAATCCACATGCTATCATATCCTACTCACGGTTAAACGTCTTCCTCTTCCCCTAGTATTACCAGCACTACATCACTTTTCCTAACCCATGCACTTAAAGTCTTGCACATGTTACACATGTACAAATCATCTTAACCGATTTAACAATTTTGCAGGCTACCTTACAATATAATAATATATCTATATAACAGTATCAGAGAATATAAAATAAAGACAGAAGAAAAATATAAAACTAGAAAAATTGGTGAAGAGCTTGCCTCCTTCCATAGCTATCTGATATAATGCCCCATGAATAAGCTCCAATTAACATGCCAGCAAAAACCACTATTGTGATTAGGCTCTCTTGGGTAGAAGAGAGTCCCCACTGGGACTTAACTGCTGGTCCTATAAAAGAGAGAATCATCACTTCCATGGCCTCTGAAATTGAACCAAGTCCAGCATAAACAAGCACAAGACCTTGGAATTTGCCAAAACCTAAGTCAATAAGTGCTTCGTCTACTGTGTATACAGTGCTGTGACCTGCCATCTATCTATAGGAACCAAATAAGCAAATTTAATTAGTATATAGTACCAATTAGTTCAGAACAATGATTATTAATTTTCTGTCCCAAAAGCATAAACCATGATTTTAATAAATAAAACAAAAATTACACTTCACCTCGAGTCTGTGGATGAGATACCAAATATCGAATCAATACATGTACAGTTCTCTTGGGCTTCTCAGCTCTCTTCTCTTATACATATTTTCTGCTGCTTGTATTCGGCCAATGTTTCGGTTGGGTTCATGGCTTCACAGTTCCTCTGTCTCCATTATCCAAGACTCCACCTAAAGAATTAGTCGTGAAAGTGGACGGAAAAAAATAAGCTCGAGTGTTGTGCGCCCGAAACTTTTATATGCAATTTAATACAAATTATAATATTTTTTTTTTCTTTCACAATACAAATTATAATATTTTTTTTTTCTTTCACAATACAAATTATAATTATTTCACTGAAATTTAAGCAAATTACACCACAGTTGTCAGTTTCACTGTGCGTTATAAAAGTGATTTTAAATATAAAAGACTAAATTGCACTAACACTCTCCGGAGTTAGATGTCAGTCAACGCGTGTTGAGTCCCAACACCCCCTTAGATTTGAAAACGTTCAAACACACACTACTGTAATATCATAAAAGGATCAACATGTCCTTTTGTTAACAACCATGTGAAATTACCCATTTAACCTTACTAACTATTTCCTTTTACCTTGGAAACCATACAACACCACACCACCACATTTAGAGAAAAGAGGATATGCATGGCCAAATTATATATGTACATATATACAACATGTATAATCCGAAGCACGTGCCTAAATTATACGTTCCCAGAGTATATACGTATATATATAATACATATTCTCAGCGATACAAACATATGCGTGTATCACCTACCGATTGAATGACTTTGCACCGATTGGGTGAAGAGCTCCGATAATGGCGGCGACCAACGCACCAGTGGCGGCGGTAGTGAGGAGATAATTGTTTATATATATTGTGGTGTCTGGTTTTGGTGGTGCTTGTGGTAGTGTTTGGGGATTAAAGAGATGCTAGTCGCTGGAGCTTGCACTGGTCGTCACCATTGCCGGAAAGTTACGGTTGGTCTAGTGGTGTTGGCATCAGTGTTGTGGTGGTGTTGAAGGTCTATAAATGTTGGGTCATGTGGGGTATTTTAATCAATTAATATGATATTTTGTGAATATAGTTGAATTAAATAATAAGAGATAAATAAGATAATTGAAATCCATTATAAAAAAGAATGATTGATCGGCATTTGAGTGATATTAATAGGAAGTAGAAGAACAATTTATACAATATAAAATATTAATAATTATCTTATATTATAAAAATAAATTATATTTCATTTTATATAAAGAGGAGATAAAATTATTATTTTATAAATTTTAGTTATTGGCAAAAAAATATTAGAGCTATTGTTAAGTACACAAATTAAATTTTAAAATATGTTAAATAATAAATGCTCAATGAAAAATTTATGTAATTTATCCATATATAAACGTAACTTCTTTGTAAGGTCCTTAACAAAACAGATTTTTTTAGTACTAAATTATCTTAACATCCTTGAGTTTTGGTTACTGCACCATTAAACTTTGATTGAAATTAATCCCATTTTTTAATCCACTCACATAGGGGTTTCTTGAAGAAGTAAAGAAAAAAAATAAATAAATAAAGGAAAAGGAAAAAGAAAAAAACCAACAAACTTCTTCGTAGTATCGTAACCTCTACTAAAAAGTTTGGCTAAAATAACAAACTGTTAAAGTAGCCGTTATTAATGTAAAAATAAAAATAAAAAATGGGCTTACCAACAATGCTCTCAGCGGCAAGGAAATAACAAAATTAACTCTATTTACGTCGATGGATTTGGCTTAAATAAATTGTTTGTATTACTAAAACAAGCTGCAAATTATAAATAGCAGTTAAGCACTCACGAGGTTTTTATTTCATGCACCTAGATAGAAATATATGTAATATATTGGTCAACCAATCACAAACTTAATACATGCCAGCCCTTGTTGAGTGATGCATCAAATTAATATATGGTAACTATATTTTTGGACAAAAATAAGCATGTTATTATGAGAAGACCAAATTGTATGAAATTACATCATTCCAAAAGAACAAAAGTATTCTAATGGATCACAATGGATTATGTGAACCATTTTTCAAAGTTAATTATTACTAGTATTTCTTTTAGTAGCGTTTAGGGCTCTCACTATATTATTATTTCTTTTTCAAAGTACTCTTTTATATTGAATTTTTCCCATGAGCATTATTAAAAAATAAAAATAAATAAAAAAATTGCATTAGCAAAACCTTATATAGCATGTCAGAACATAAGTTTAACCTTATATATTACATTTCAATTGTAATAAAAAATCCTAAAAAAATTAAGTAACCCAACTTGGAACAAAAAACAAAACTTATATATTTACAATCATGACAAACAGAAAGTCCAAAATAAATATAAAAAAAAACCAATATTATCTCCGTAAAAACATTGATAAAAAATGAAAATAATAATAATAATAATAATAATAAAACACATTATACAAGTATGGTGACAATTGGTAGAACAAAAAACCCCTAAAAGAGCGATTTATAAACAATAAACAAAACATTCAAAATATAAACACCTTCGAATATTAGATGTAAACCCCAAAACACAACAACCATTAAAGAGATTTACCAAAACCCTAAAATGATCAATCAAAATATGATAAATAAGCAAATAAACAAGATGGGTCCAAAAATAGGGTAAATACGATTTTATTGAATCCCTAAAATGACAAATAAATCATAAAAAATGAGGGGAATATACAAGGAGAGGTAAAACAGTAAGTCATATTCACCAACACAAATTATAAAAATGTAAATGGATCAAATATACAAATACAAATTATATACTTTTCATTTACTAATTTTTTTTCAAAATATACAAGTACAAATTATGCATGCCCATTTTATGCATGCCCATTTTACGCTTTCCTATTAATTTTACAAATGAGAAGTTGAGGGTTGGTTGCATGCAAAAGGTTCTTTTCGTCAAAACAATTCATCAATGTGTCATATAGTTTGCATACTAAAATTCCAACGCCTAGCTGCAGAGAATGTGTTTTTAAAAAATAATAATAATAGAAGGAAGTATTCTGCAACTTTTAAATTTTATCTTTTAAATTTTTTAAATAAACTCATGTTGTGTTTTCAAAACAAATCTCGGTGACATTCAAAAATTTAACTTATTTCTTCACATGGGTATACTAAAATGTGTGGTCGTGTTAGTCCTCTTCTTCTTCTTCTTCTTCTACCTTTTCTTTTTTTTTTCAATTATCTAGTATTTCATTACTAGCATATCTAAATGAATTGTGATTGTAAGATACTCGTACATTATGAGAATTGTCAATTTTTTCCACTCCCAATTTATTTTGTCTCATGCAATAATTAAAATTAATCTACAAAATACACCTAAATGAATCTAACTGCTCTTTTAAATCACCATATGACCGTACCAAAACATCAACTTCTTTAAAGTAACCAAATTATCCGCGGTACTGTACAGCAATATTACGTTTAATCCATACAACATTTACAGGTGTTGTAATGACTTAATTTATGAAGTGCAGAGAAAGCAGGGTAATTCAATTGTACAGTGGAAGTGCTGACATCATTATGTAAAGTGGGTGGACCACACATTATGAAGGAAACATAACGTGCATCAATTTTGAACTTGTATATTTGGAAAACAGAATACAGTAAATATTTATATTACTGTTGGTATCATAGTGGAGTTAAAGATTGTCATGACGATCATAGTAAATGCAATAGTTGTTGTCCAACTGTGTTCAAATTCAATATCATCAACCACGGTGTTATAATGACCAAACTAAATACTCCACTGTCTTGTTTCAACTGTCCTCCTTTTTACCATACAAATAGCTCCAGCTAGCTAAGCCAATGGTGAATAAAGAAGAGCTCTCATTCTCAGCCTCTCTTATTCTCAACATTATGGTTGGTAGGATTCGAGATTTTATATATTCAAACTTCCACTCATTGTACTATAAAATCTCAATCTATTCCATTCTCTTTCTTTTTTATGGTAAAATATTTTGCTAGGATCTTTGCAAGACCTGCATCTTTTGGAGTTTGGATTGGGTTTTGATCTCTGTTCAAGGGGTAGTAAATGGGTTGGTAGCGCGAGGCAGAGATGAATCAGCTAAAAAAAATCACGTGTATCAGTTGGTTGGTTCCAAATTGAAAATGATATAGGCAGAACATTAATTATGTTAGAAAAACAAGTAAGTGGGTTGATAGCATAGTTAGTAAAATATGGTACCCAAAAAAATGGATTCCGAAATATGTATAATTTGATTTTTTTAGGAAAAATATGACTAAAAAATATAGAAACGTAAAATTTTAAATACGAATATGTACGTCGTATGGATTAAAATTTTAAATGTTGGATTAGTATTTTAATCAATTAATTGACTGATATTTTGTGAATATAATTGAATTAAATAATAAAGACTAAATAAGACATTTGAAACCCATTATAAAAAACAATGATTGACCGACATTTGAGTGGCATTAATCAAAACTTTAGGAGTATTAGTGCAATTTATTCAATATAAAATATCAATAATTCTTTTATATTATAAAAATAAATTATATTTCATTTTATATAAGGAGGAGAAAAAATTATTATTTTATAAATTTTTATTATAGGCAAAAAAAAATATTAGAGTTGTTAAATACACAATTTAAAATTTAAAATATATTAAAATAATAAACCCTCGATAAAAGATTGATGTAAATTATCCGTATATACACATAACTTCTTTGTAAGGTGCTTGACAAAACAGATTTTTTTAATACTAAATGACCTTAACATCCTTGAGTTTTTTGTACTACACCATTAAACTTTGATTGAAATTAATCCTATTTTTTAATCAACTCACGTAGGGGTTTCTTGAAGAAGAAAAAAAAAAAAAAAAAAAAACCAAACAAACAAACAAACTTCTTCGTATTATGGTAACCTCATCTAAGTTTGGTTAAAATCACACGCTCAGACTACCTAACTGTTAAAGTGTAAAAATAAAATAAAAAATAAAAAATCGGCCTACCAACTCAGCGGTGAGGAAATAACAAAATTAACTCTATTTTCCTTTGTTAAATATCGATATGCAATATGTTAAAAACGTCTTTATATAAATTGTTTGTATTACAAAAAAACAAAAATGCACAAATTATAGATAGCAGTTAGCACCCACAAGGTTTTTATTTCATGCATCTAGATTAGGGGTGGCAAATTACGACACGACACGACAACACGACACGACTTAAAAGGGTTTGGGTTTGGCTATAATGTTATCGATTTTTCCATTTTTTATTTTCTGGGTTTTTCCATTTTTTTGGATTATTTTAATCATTGCCTCGTTTTGCGTGCCTCGAGGGGCTTTTTGGTCTTTCTTTTTTTTTAGCTGAGGGTTTTAGAAGTATATTTTTTAATCATTTTAAGTCAATTAGAAGTGACCAGTATCATTTTTAGAATTTTTCAGAAGTCGGGGCGATTTCCGAACTCGGGAACTCCTCCCGATTTTCTCATTTTAAGTGAGAGGCATTGTAGTCATTTCACATGTATATACATATATGTGTAGCTATATATTAGAAAGATATTTATAGGACAAGGTTGGCATTGTAGAGGAAGGACAAGGGCATGATGATAACTTGCACACATTAGTAACCTACCAAATTTTGACACATGGCACATTTTTGGCCTTGAAACCAATTTGAAGACAAGCCAAGCCCACCCCTTTCCTCCTCATTTTTTTCAGATTCTTCTTTCTCTCTCTAATCTTCTCCCTCTCTCTCTAAATCTATATGCATGCTTATTTATATTATATACTTCAACCCATTTTTTTGGGGGTTTAGAGTGAGATTTGGCTAAGATCAAAAAAGAGAAAGTTGTTCATCATATTATAGGCTTTCATTTGAGACCACTCTTGCTTGCATTTGGTATTTCGAATTTTGGGAGGCCTTAGACCTTGTTTGGCTTATTCCATTGAGGTAGGGAAAGTTTAAATTACAAGTCTTATAGTTTTAGTGAGTTTCTATGTGCTTTCTTGTATGAAAATTTTAATGTTGTGAAGCATGCTTAGTTTGTAAATTTTGGTTGTGATGTTAAGCATGAGATAATGTTGATTTAATTGCTTTGTGTTGAGAACATGATGATTACTTATATCTGTGTCTAACATGCTATTTTCCTATGAGAAAATGTGAAAGTATGATTTATATGATTGATTTTTTATGTTTTGATGTTTTGATATGATGATTATGATGTAAATTATGATTTGTATACTGATGAATGGTAGTATGATATGCATATTCTTGGCATGGGGTAAGTTGAGAGGATAAAGGTTTGATGTGGAAGAAAATGTTAAGAAGTGAGATGATGGTTTGTGTTGTAAGTTAAGGTGATGGTTATGAAGGTTTTAATGAGGTTGGGTTGGAAAAGAAGAATGGGCAATTGCATTTCATGTATGATGGAATGGTTTGTGAATTTGTAAAATTTATGTATGATAAAATGGCTTATATTCCCATGATCCCCTTTCTTTGATCTCCTTTTCTTTGGTTGTGGCTTATGGGATTTTTAGGAATGTACTTTAGGATTTTTCTATTGAGCTATTAAGCTCACCCCATTATTATTGACATTTTTCAGAAATTCAGAGATGAGCCGGTGAATGATATGCATTCATGGATATTGATGTAGTTAGGATTTCATTTTTTATTGAAGCTATGTAATTTTGGCCATGGAGGCATCAATCTTTGTATTTAATTCTTTAAAAATTGTATAAAATGAGATTTGTATAAGAGCTAAATTCTAAAAACCCCCCCTCTTATTTTAAAAAACAATCTACTAACCCCCTCAAGTATAGAAACTATCATATGATCCATTCCCCGTTAGTTGACTGTCTAAAAACTAACGTCTTCTTATCACGTGAGTGCCACGTGCACCAGATACCCCAATATAATGACAAAAGTACCCTTGTTGTATAGAAATGACGAAAAAACCCTATTTAACCCCACCCCCTCGGTTATGCAATGTTTAAGGTTTGTTATCTCCTTCCTTCTCTGTCGTTGCATTAGTTAGTAAGGATTGCCGCCATAGAAAATCTCTTCTCTCGTTCGTTGCTATCGCTTCTCTCTTCGTTAACTGCCATCTTCTCTCTTATCTCTTCGTTAAGTGCCTTATTCTCTCTTCGCTCTTGTCTTCTCTTGTTCTTGTCTATGATTGAAGTGGTTTGAGGATTCTCCAAAGAAGCAGTAGCATAAGCCCTAATTGATCTATTAAATTCTCTAATTGATGATTTGAAGTCCTAATCGATGTATTGAAGTCCCCAATTGATTATTTGAAGCCCAAAATCGTAGCCACTGTGTGCCCTATTAGAAGCCCTAAACCGCGATCAGGGAACCCAAATGTCTTCTTCGACCACACAATCTGTTAATTGGCAAGATCTCAAGTATAACAACATAATATGTGGTTGTGGCTATCCAAGTGAGAGTTACAGGTTCAGATGAGTATAACAACAAAGGGGGGATATACTATTCTTGTGGTACAAAAAAATGCTCTTTATGGGCATAATGTGATCAAATTTGTACAATGCCACCATATACTGAAGCAGACGAAAGCAAGTTTAGTGAAATTGCAGAATTGAAGTTCCGATATGATACAGTTAGTTCCCGTTTGGCAGCAATGGGAAAAAGTATGGAAGAAATCCAAAAAATTCTGAAGCAATTAGTTGTAGCATTTGTTATGTTTTGTGTTATTGTATGTATAATAGCTTTAGGAAGAAAGTAGTCAGTTGATTTTAATATGAGACTGTATATGCAAAATATATTTTGAAGTCGCATGAAGTGTGTATGCAATGTACTTTCTGAATTGTCAAGTGCATGAGTGAAAGTGTATATTGAAGTTAAATTGTAGAATTGTAAGTGTTAAGTCTTATGTTTCGAATTGCATGAACAAAATCAAAGTGACAAATTACAATTTGCCAAAAATGCATTCAAGGTAAAGTTGCATACATATATTCAAACCAATAGCTTCACTGTCCAAAATAGCCATACATTAAAAACATTCACTGTCATTACATTGCCATGCATTGTTAAATAAGCCAACATATTCACTGTCCAAAATAGTCATACATTAAAAACAGCCACTGTCATTACATTGCCATGCATTGTCAAATAAGCCAACACATTCACTGTCCAAAATAGCTATACATTAAAAACATCCACTGTCATTACATTACCATGCATTGCCAAACAAACCAACACATTTACTATCCAAAATAAACCCACCATTGTCAAATAAATCAACACATTCACTGTCCAAAATAAACCATCCACATTACACTACTAGTACAAAATACCCACCACTGTCCAAAATAAACCCACCACTGTCATTGTTTAGCATTACATTAAAAACATAAGAAAATACTAATATGCAGTTAACTATTTCTTCAATTTGTCCTCCAAAAAAGCTGCACAAAAAAGCTACTGCCACTTTCATCAACATGCCATCATTCTTGTGTGTTAAGTGTGGATGGAAAGTCCATATGAACCACTTCATATTTGGTGGATGTTGATGCCTATTCAATGGATGGAAAATATGTGTTAGTTTAGTTTTATTAATGTAACGTAAAATAAAATAATAAGAGGTTGAATAATAATAAAGCAATAAAGCAATACCAAGACTAAGACCATAATGTTGGGTGGATGTTAATGGCTATTAAATAAAGCAATAAATGTCAACCTACATGTGTTTATAATGTATAATAAATATGAAATAAAAAAAATATAATTTTTACCTCTGAATGAAATACAACAGGTCTGTTACCAGCTCTGCCACCACTGCCACCACCTCTACCAGCACTGCTACCACCTCTACCAGCTATGCCACCACTACCACCACCTCTACCAGCTAAGCCACCACTGCCAACACCTTTAGCAGCTATGCCACCGCTGCTACCAGCTCTAGTAGTTGTGCCACCACTGCTACCACCTCTAGCAGGTCTGCCACCATCACCTATGTGAACATTCTGCCACTATCACCTATGCGAACACCACCACCTATGTGAACATCAGCACCTATGTGAACACCACCACCTATGTGAACACCACCACTGTAATACCCCGTAATTTAAAAGAGTTTATTTAAATTAATTTTGTGTTAGATTAATTCTTTAATGTGTAGATTTATTCACCTTTTAATTATATATGTTAAATTATTTAATTAATTTTATTTATTTGTGCATGTAATATTGATTTTATGTTCTATATATTATAATGATTAGTTTAGAAATTTTATTGGTTATATTTTAGATTAATTAATATTAGTTAATTAAAGTATTTAATTTGTATTGTATAATAATAATAATAATAATAATAATAAACAATGTCATGATGTAAAGTTAATATTAGGATAGAATTTTATTTACTATGGTAGAATGGTAGATCAAATAACTTGACTAAAATTGCATTGCCTTAAAGCCATATAGGTGGGAATGTTGAAAGTTAATGTTTAGGTTAGATATTTGTATTATATATATTATATAAATTAGTATATATTAGTTAGTTAGTTACAATTTGAAAGAAAACTCACGTAAGTAGAAGAGCAAAATAACAGTGAGCAATTGTTGAAGAGTGAAAGGAAGAGAGAGAAAGAAAGGAGCTTGGACCGGTGTAGGGAATTTACCCGACTACGCACAGACCGGCGGATTTATTTTAAATCCATAAGGCAAGTTATTATCTACTTTTCCCCTTTGACTCCATAAATTATTCATTACATTTATTCGGCTATTTTTTTTTTTAGGTTAGAAACCATGCTAGGACAATGATAAATTAAATATTTAATTTATTAAAATAATGTGATATTAAATATTTAAGGGTTAAATAATTTATTATTGGTCTAGGTAATTAATTGAATCTTAAGAATTGTTATTTAAGGCTTTAGAAATTTTTCTAGAATTTTTGGGCAATTTTTAGAATTTTTCTGTATTTTCCGGCGACCTTCCGGCGAGTTTTCCGGTCGCCGGCAATGGGGGAGATGACAGGAGTAATCCGGTGTGATACGACGCACTATAGTTACTGTGCGCATGGATATCCGGCCGTTAGATGAGTAACTAATCAGCAGATTGATTCGGTGGAGTCCAATACACCATAAGATGGTGCGCGCGCGAACCAGGACCCTTGGATTAGAAGAACTAAGATAGAATTATCCAATGTAGCGCGCCCACAACAAAGTCCATGCAACCACCGAATCAGGAGCCACCGCGTCAGCAAGAAGCATTAGAGGGCGCGTGGGAGAGCGTGCGCGCGCGTGGCAGGTTCTAGACGCGCGTGATGGCGCGTGCGCGTGTGGGAATGAGTTGGCTGCGCGTGGGGAAGCTTAGGGCGGCGCGTGGGGGCGCGTGAAGGGCCCTTTCAACTACTGGAAATTACCAGACTACCCCTAGGGCCATTTTTGTGAATTTCAGAACCTTAAACCTTGTTTTTAGGGCCTGTGTTGGTATTTACGGGTTTGACGGGTCACGAAATTATTATTTTATTACCCGTTAATTATTCTTATGGCCAATTAATCTTTTCTAAGCATTTATTGGCTCGTTTACAGTACGGATATGAATGTGATTTATTTAACGACATTGTTAAATATAGATGGTGTTATTATTTTATTAAATGGTATTAATCATTGCTTTTAAATTAAATAATGCCATGGTTTTAGTCATATAAATTACCCATTTTATATTATGGGATATTTATACTGTTAATCGTATATAAACCATGATTATTATGCTGTGTGCATTTCAGGGAATAAATGGACTGTTTATTATGTCGCATTTATATTATATGGATGTGTTGTCATATGGAACCATGTGAGCTGGCTAATAAGTTTAGACTCATTTATACCTTATGCATTCGTTGCTATAGACAGATGTGTGGCTGTCGGGGTATGTGGTTTAATATTATTGGCATGTGTTGCCTAATTGATATACTTAGTATATTTATTCATATTATTGGCATGTGTTGCCTAATTAACATACTCAGTATATTTAGTATTATTATTGGCATGTATTGCCTAATTGTTATGCTCAGTAACTCATTAGTACATTGAGATGCGTTATTACTGTGTAGCCTTTACAGTCTGTGTTGTCAGTACTGTGCACCATGTATAATAGCTGATTTCCCGGGTAGGGAAATGAGACACTTAACCATCTAGTGTGAGTCTAAGTGATCACCGTCTATTCTGGTTGAGGTCATGTTATACATTGGATAGTTCCATTAGGATGTATACAGATATAGTACTCATCCAGATATAAATGATTAATTTATTTGATTCTCTGATTTGGGTCATAGTAGACAGGACTTGCTCGTGGGGTTGACCCACCGTTCTTGTTATTTCAGGATACGGTCAGTACCCGTTCCAAGGTTGAGGTTAGCAGTGTAGGACCACCATCGGAACTCATCTACTCTTACGATTCAGTTCAGGGTAGAAGTTTTATGTATTACTTCAGTTTCAGTTTTTATTTACTTTTGACGTTGAACTCTCAGGTTTATATTTAGGGATCCTTGACATAGGATTTCCAAGTTGTAATGGAGTACTGTAGTAAGTAAAGGATGGATGGATGTTGTATTATTTAGTGTTCCTTTCTTGTCTAAATTCTTTTATTATTATCATTTTGTATTCCATGCTTGTATGTTGCCAATTGTTTTTGATATCCCTCGTTTTTCGTGTATAAGCCTGATCAACTTATGCGTGGAAAATGTGGGGGTGTCACAGTTGGTATCAGAGCATTCCAGGTTTGAGTGTCTTAGGGATCTATGATTACTATACTTCCGCGTTGTGTATTCTGATAATTAGCGCCTAAGTATTAGGGTTCTTTGTATTCTTTTAGTCGGTCCATTATAATGTACTGACGTTAGATTTTTCTGAATCCAAAAGAAGGATGTCTCGGCGTGGGACAAGGAATGCGAACCGTCATCGCAGTATTTCCCCAACTCAAAATGAGAATCAGGAATTTTCCCCTCAAGTTGCTGATATTATTACACGAGCTATAGCAGCAGGAGTAGCATCTGCTCTACGAAACCAGCAACCTCCTCCGATAGTACCTGTTCCTGAACCAGTGGCACAGCCAATGTCATGGGACAAAATTCGTCACTCGTTCATCCGGGGAAATCCACCAATATTTGCAGGGTCCACAGATGTCCTGTTAGCATATCAGTGGAAACAGGATAGCGAGCGTCATCTTCAGATGGTAATCTGTACCGAAGTACAGAAATAGATGCTAGCTACGTTTATGCTGATAGGCAATGCATTGCAGTGCTGGGAGTCTATTACTACTGTCGAAGAGAGAACCAGATTGACTTATGCTGAATTTCAGACTCGCTTTGATGACAAGTATTTTCCTATGTCAGTAAGATCAGCAATGAAGACTGAATTTCTGGATCTGCAATAGGAGGATATGACTGCGGCTGAGTATGAACAGAAGTTCATTAATTTGTCATTATTTGCACTAGAGGAGGTCAATACGGAAGACCGCTTTGTGAAGGGGTTGATATGGTCGATTAAAGTGGTGATCATAGGTAGTCCTGCATATACTACTTATATCCAGGTAGTTAATGCCGCTTTACAGCACTGCCAGATGAGGAGTGATTACCGGAAGTCCAAGGGAGATAAGCGGGCTAACCGAGAATACCAGACAGTGGAGAAAGGAAGCAGCAGTGGTACCAAGTCCAATGATCGGGGCAGATTTCAAGGACATCAACCTTGGAAGAAAAACAAAGGAAACCCAGATGTGCAGAGGGATGGAGTCCCTAATCAGGGTAGACAAGGTGGGGTACCTCAGACCGGACAGGAAAGTGGTCGGGAAATCAACAGAGAAGGCAGGCAGGTCCTTTTACGGGACGTTGTTATCACTGTAGAGAAATTGGGCATCCGGCCAAGATGTGTCCCAAAGCTAAGCAGGGACAGTATGGGCAGCCGAGACCTAATCAGCCATTACCTCTACCGGCCCCACCGATGCCACGTGGGCAAGTTCAGAATTTTCCGGCACTTCCAGCACCACCATTTCCTCCGGGACAACCTCCACATCAGTTGCATCATGGCAGAGTTTATAACTTCATGCCACATAATGCGCAGGCTCCTCAGGCTATTGAGGGTATGTTTTCTATACATGGTAGAACTGCTCGTATACTGTTTGACACTGGTGCATCACATTCTTTTGTGTCTAGATCTTTTGTTATCTTATCTGGTATGACGACTCAGTTATGTGACCAACCTCTTAATATTTATACACCATTGGGAGTTGGCGCAATTTTACGAGAGTGTAGCGGTGATATCCTTATAGATATGGGCCGGCTTCGATTTCTTGCAAATTTGTTAGTGTTAGATATGCATTCGTATGATGTTATACTTGGGATGGACTAGTTATCTCAGTACCATGCTCAGGTTAACTGTTACGAAAAGTCTATTGTATTTGCTATACCAGGACAGGAGATGTATCTTCTTGTTGTACCACAACCTAATGGAGGGCCTAACATTTATTTATTCGTTCTTGAGGAGCACTCACAGGAAGCGACTGCGGTATCTCTTGACAGTATTCCGGTAGTACAGGAATTCCAGGATGTATTCCAGGAAATTCCAGGCTTGCCACCAAGTCGAGAGATAGACTTCGTCATTGATTTAGCTCCAGGCACTACACCTATTGCTAAGGCGCCGTACAGAATGGCATCAGTGGAGATGCGAAAGTTGAAAGATCAAATTCAGCAGCTGCTCAGCCAGGGATTTATTCGCAGGAGTACTTCACCATGGGGCGCACCAGTACTGTTTGTCAAAAAGAATGATGGATCTCTTCGTCTTTGTATTGATTACAGAGAACTCAACAAGGTCACTATTCGCAACAAGTACCCGTTGCCCAGAATTGATAACCTGTTTGATCAATTGAAGGGAGCTACTTACTTCTCAAAGATCGATTTGAGGTCTGGTTATCATCAGCTACGAGTCAGAGAACAAGATGTTCCAAAGACAGCATTTCTCACAAGGTACGGA